ACCCGGCGGCCCAGGAGGCTCCCGGCGCGGCGGGCGCGGCGAGCGCGCACTCCCTGCTCCTCCTCCTCGCTGGCGCTGCCCGCCTCTCCGCACTCGCTGCTCGCGCCGGGCGCGCTCCGCCGGCTCCCTGCTCTCCGCGCCACCCTCCTCCGGGCCGCGCTCCCTGAGGGATGGTACTGAATTTCGCCGCCACAGGAGCCCGGCTGGAGCGCCCGCCCCGCGGCCTCGCCTCCCCGCCGAGCCGCCAGCGCCTCGGGACGCGATGAGGACCTGGGCTTGCCTGCTGCTCTTCGGCTGCGGATACCTCGCCCATGCCCTGGCCGAGGTGGGTGCCACCCCCGCGCCCCGTCCCCTCTCCGACTCCCCCGGCGCACGCCTCCTGCAGCCGCCCGCGCGGGCCGGGGCGCCTCGGGCTCTGGGGCTTTGCGGAGCGCATTTTGATTTCTGCTAGGGTGGTCGATTTTTTGATTTTCCCAACTGGGTTTTATTTTCTGCCAAGCCGAAGTGTGTCTGGTGAGTTTCCAGCGTGTTGCGTCGCTCTGCCGTGGACGGAGTGGCGCGGGGTGGACGAGTGGGGAGAAACTTCGGGGGGCGCGGGCCCCTCTCCGGAAGGGGAGTCCGGGGGGCGGCGGAAAATGCAGTATCGGGGTGCGGGGAGCGCGGAAGGGGGTGTGTGTGACCTGGCGGAGCCAGCGGCGGATAAACAGGGGCGGCTGCTGCGGCAGTCCCCGTCAGGCAGGGTGGGCAGCAGGGGGGGGGGGCCGGGCACCCCCCCCCCCCCCTCCCGCCCACCCCCCGGTCCCTGTCCCTGAGCCTAGCCCTGGCGGCTGGGCCGGCGCAGTCCCGCCAGCCCGGGGCCTGCTTACAGGTGGCTGAGTGAGGCGAGCCGGGGCCGGGCCAGGCGCCCGCGCCCTCCCACCGCCGGCGTCCCCACCCCCCCAATGTCGAATCCCGAATCCCCGGGAGCTCTCCTGTGATGAATGACTTTCTGCAGCCCCCGTCGTGGGAACTTGGTGCTTGAGACCCCTTCCCCACCCCCCCCTCCCCAGCAGCGACCCCCGACTCCCTTTAAAAATCTGGAGGAGGGGGGAGCCCGCGAGGCGGGGGTGGTCTGGGCAGGGACCGCGAGCTGCGAGAGGTGGAGATTTAACCCTCCCATTGCCATGCAGCCTCTCCCAGCCGGCGGCTGGATTTGGGGCGTCTTGGGCGGCGCTAGGGCCGCGGCCGGGCCGTAGCGGGTGGGGCGCGCGTGTGAACGAGTGAATGCGCGCGCGCGTGTTTTTGCGACGGAGACCCTCGACCCCGCAGGTTGAGCCGGGGATTCCGGGGTGTGAAATTTAAGCCGCTGGCAGGATTAAAGTGTTAAGGCTGCCGTGACTTTCGTCGCCGATCCGTGACGCATTTCAACTTGATCTTTCTGGATGTCGATTTCACTATTAAATCAGAAACTCCTCGGGCTCTCCGCTGCCCCTAGACCTACTGTAACTGACACCCGGGGCGGAGGGTCCGCAGTGCCGGGCTTTTGTTTGAAAATTTAAAGGTGGGAGGGCTTTCTTTCTGCAAAGGTGGACCTGGATGGGAGCCGAGCATTTGGGGTCTCACCCAGCCCCACCCCTGGCCTCGGACTCCAGGGCCCCGCGGGTAGGGGCCGGGCAGCCTTCGAGCAGGAGGGGGCGCGAGGTGGGGGGGGGGGGGCGGGGGGGGGGGGGGGGGGCGCAGGGCATGAGCCGGCCCGGCCGCTGGCGCTGACCGTGTGGGTCTGTTTGCAGGAAGCCGAGATCCCCCACGAGGTGATTGAGAGGCTGGCGCACAGTCAGATCCACAGCATCCGGGACCTCCAGCGACTCCTGGAGATAGACTCCGTAGGTAAATCGCGCCCCTTCCCTCGGCGCGCCGGGTGGGTGTGCGGGGGTATGCGCCCCGCGCCGCCTCCCGCGCTCGGGCCGGGCCGGGCGCCGCTCAGGAACGAACCGAAAGGTCAGAATCCAATCCCGGGCCATAAAAGCCCAGGCGGATGAGTCAGGAGTTTCTCTTCCAATCCCCACTTTCTCTCCGGAGGCGGCCGCGATTTGCTCGCTTGCCCGGGGATTGTTTTTGCATTTAAGGAAAATGCCGTGTGTGTCACTGAAAGTTCAGCCGCATAGGGGGCGCCGGCGCCCGGGCCAGGTGTGCGGGCCCCGGGCCTGCCCTCCGGCCGGAGGAGCGGCCGAGCGGGCCGGGGCCTGGGCGCGGAGCCCTGGCCGTGCGCCCCGAGGGCAGGCGTGTGCCGGAGGAGCTGCCCCCTTGTCTTCGCGGGGAACTGGTGCCCCGCTCCCGTGGCGGGGGGCGGCGGGGCCTTTGTGGTTTCCGGAGACCCGTGCCTTTCTCTTTTCACGGGCCAATAAAAAGGCACGTCTTGGACACATCTGGTGTTTGGGGACTATTTTGGGGCTCACCCCCCAGGCCCTGGAGCCTAGCCACTCCGGTTTATCTGTAAATGGAGAGTTTTGAAGATCTTCAGCGTCAGCTGCAGAATTGGAGGGGACTGGCGCGCACAGGTCCCCTGGGACCCAGGTCGTCGTCGGTGGTGTTTGTTGGTGGCTGCACTGCGGTGTGAACTGAGGGAGCCCTTTTCTAGAGGACCCGGATTCTGACCCACATCTGCGTGGTGTCCTGCTCGAAATTTGTGTTTGGTGGGGGAAACGCGGCATGTGGAGGGCCAGCTACAGAAATACATCTGTCAGAGGACATTTGTTAGTGTCTGGTTGAAAAGAGGCCCAAGATGGACTTGTCAGACGGAGCCACGGCAAGTGGTGGAGGTCGGTGGAAGGATTCAGTGAAGATTTCTCTCTCCCTGCAGACTATCCTGAAAGAGGGGGGCCGAGGGGGAATTAAGTAAAATCACATGGTCTAGTCATTTGGAAATTTGTACCTAATTATGGTGGTGGAGAGGCCTGAACTATTTTCATTTCATGCCAAGACCATTTTCTAGCAAGGCCCATGGTTTCTGTAGTTTCGTGACCCAGGAAATCCTTTGGCTGATCCTTATCAGGAAGGGGGTAGAATTTCACTTGGAGATCACAGTTGGGCTGGTGGGGGGGGGGGGGGCGGATTTTGGTCTGGTTCCTTGATGTGTAACCCTGGGGAGAAGGATTTGGCTTTGGTTAGCTGAGGAGAAGCCTGCATTCTGCTGGGCCCTGGCGGATTTGTACGAGTGGGGAGACCGCTTCCCTGAGAAGGTTCACGGCCTTTTTTTTTTTTTTTTTTTCAGCTTTCGGGAACGAGGCCTGTGAAGGGCTGGGCCTCCCTGTGGGACGGCTTTGGGACACCACCGGGAAATGGGCCATTGGCTTTCTGTTGGGACCATTCTTATTCTGGTCTCTGCAGCCCCGCCCCCAACCCCCACCCATTAACACTTTCTGCATTTGCAGCTGGGTGGGATATGCTGATGGCATTCCTGACCTGGGGGCTCTTGGGCCCGGGATTCTCTGGGAGGGTCCGAACTGGAGAAGCTGGATGCACCAGCCAGTTCCCTGGGCTGGTCTCAAATTGCCCCCTTACCAAAAGCCCCGGGCCCTCCTCCTCGTCCTGCACCCCCACCCCTGTCTGCCGCACGGTTTGGGGTCTGGCTAGGATCCTGGGTTAGGACTCATCTTGCTGGGGATACCGGGGTGAGAATGGAGCCGGGCTTCTGGGATCTTACGTGCTCGCCAGGAGCGGGCCTAGGAGGCCCTTTGTGACACAGCCTCGGGTGGCTCTCCATCCAGGTCTGGCCCCTTTCACGGGGATGTGGAAGCTGGGAACCACGGCAGTGCGTGGCCTCTGGCCTCAGCGTAGGGGTTGCTGCTGGCTGCTTCTGGAGCTCGTTTTGGGGTCTTTACCCCCCAACACCTGTTCCCGCCCAAAGGGATGAGTTGAAACAGATCTTGCTGTCGGGGTCAGTTGTCTGTGGACTGAGCTGCCCTCCAGGCCCTGGAGCCTGTCTGGGATCCCTGAGGAAGGAGCTGGGGTGTGGAGAAACCCGGACCCCCAGCCGGTGGGTCTTTATCCCTCTTGGTAACTCAAGGGTGAGGCGCCCCCGACCCCCACCCCAGGTCGGAGGTCGGGGTGTAACGGGAATTAGGCCCCAGGGGCAGAAAAGGCTTTTTCTTACAGGCTGACTCCTCCCCTCCTGGCATGGGCGGGGCTTTGGGGAGACCTGTAGGATCCCAGGTTTTTCCCCGTGGGCGGGTGGGTGTATCCCCATTTTACAGATGAAGCCTGTCCCCGTCGGATTCCTACCCCAGGGGCGATGGGAACCGCCCTGAGTCTGAGCGCTGCCGGAGGGTGAATGAAGTTGGGGCGTCGCTGACTCTCCACGTGGGGCGTTTGGGTGGAGGGACCAGTGTGTGGTCTCTGAGTTCAGGATGAGAAAGAGCCACTGAGCAGGACAGCGGGGGTGCTTTGTTATCCCAGCAGCCGGGGTTGGGCGGGGGGTGGTCACTGAGTGACTGATGCATAAACATCCCCGTCCTGGGCCATTAATGCTGCTCTAGGACTGAAGGCTGGAGGGGGCTTGTCCCCATCCTGAGCTGTCACTCGGACATTTGTGCACGGGAGACAAAAGGGAAACCCACTTGATTAACTGCCCTGAGAGCCGTTTTAGGGCATCGTTCAGGCGGGGCCTTCTCCCCCAAGTCGCTGCTGGGCCATTTCTCAAGCGGCATCAATCAGAAGGCCGCTCCCCCGTGAGCGTGGATGGGCGCGCAGTGCACGGCCACCCATCTGGATCCGCGGGCAACGGAGGGCGTGTTTGACCAGGAGCTATTTCTACCCCGCCTCTTGTCTTGAAAGCAATCTGCGGGTTCAGGTTTCAGCACCGTTGATAAGCTGGCAGGGCCCTTGTCTTCTCTGTTTATTCAGGCGAGAGGCCCGGACGGGGCTCCCGGGTCCTCCTATGGCCATGCCCCTACCCAGCGTTCGTGTCTTGGGCCTCAGTTTCCTCAGATGTCAGGAAGTGGAGGCGGCCCCTGCGGACACGTCAGGACTGAGTCTCCAGGAAAGCGATAGGTGACCCCTGGCTTTAGTAAGTCTCGGAAGCTGGTGGCCCGCGTGCCGTGACGCTTGCCCCTGGAAGCCGACAGCGGGCCAGCTGCTCTTTGGCGTGGGGACGGCAAGATGGCCGCCACCGGGACGTGACTCATAAATGTCACTTTTTTGCGAAAAAATGCCTCTTGTAACAGTTGGTTGATGGGAAATTCTTACTGCATGAATAGTTGTGTTCTGATCTTATTTCGGGTCTCAAAAAAATTAGTGGCAGTGGAACATTGAGTCATTTTAAGTGAAAAGTTGGGTTTTTCCCAGACTTCAGTTTTCTGAAAGAACGTATCTTCTGCTGATTGCACCTTTCGCCTGGTATTTGGTTTTCATTTTAAAAGAGTGGAGCTTTCAGATCTGTGGGTTTGTAGACAGTCCCTGAGGCCTTGGTGGTCCGGGCGCCCAGGAGGGGGCCTCCGGTTTGGGCTGGTGGCCGGGACACCACGGAAGAAGGGGTCTGCTGGAGCCCCTGTCTGTTGGAGCTCCTCAGACCCGGGGCCCCTGCTCATCTACCAGGGGGGAGGCCGAGGCTGGAGGGGGATGTGGAAGGAGACCCCCCTTCCCCCCGTGGCTGGGTCTGGGGTCAAGGCAGGGAGACCAGGTGCGACCCACAGCAGTCATCCGGGCACAGGCAGTGTCATGGGGCCAGGTCGGTGTTGTGAGTGGCAGGCGGCAGGGACTGTGTGTCCCTCCTACCCCACCTGGGGCCCCCCTAGGCTGCCCAGGGGCACTGGGGGGGGGGTGGGAGAGGGCCGTGGCATGTGTACTGGGGCTGTCGCGGGCCTGGGGGATGAGGGTCCGGTTCTGATTTTAGCGCTGGGACCACTGCTCTGAGGCCAAGGGCAGCGAGCACGCTTGCCTTCCTGCCAGCCGGCCTCTCGGCCGCGCACTGGGATTCCTGCTCTTTTGCTTCCCTGCGTGCGTTTCTTGTGGACTCAGAGTGGGCCAGGCGGGGTCCAGCTGTCGGTCCAGCGGGGCCTGGCTTCCCGTGCCCCTCAAAGGTTAGGGTGCTTCATCGAGAGTCGGTTTGGTGAGAAAGAGGGAGACACACACACACATCCCGGGAAAGTCGCAGCGTGCTGGTCCTTCTGACACTTTTTCCCGGAGGTGGGCCTGGGAAAAGGGGGCTGTGAGCAGGGGCCTGGGTCTTTTGGACAAGGAAGGCCTTCCCTGCTCTGGCCCTCACTTGGGGAGGCGCCCCAGGGGAGACCACATGTGGCCCCTTTACCCCAAGTCCACAGCTTTGCTTCAAGGTACGGCCAGGGCACAGCCCGGGCCCCTCCGTGTATGCTTCTCAGGGGTCCGGGGGCTGAGTTTCGGCAGTCAGGACTCGCATCCTCTGCGCCTGTGGGAGTGGAGGGTCTCCTAGGGGACCCTGTCTGTCTGGGGGAGGCAGGTAGGAAGCATTGCTGGACAGGTCCCCGGGCGCCACGCAGATGGGGGGGCCGCCGGTCACCATTTCCTCTTTCTTCCTGCAGGGCCCGAGGGTGCTCTGGAGGTGAGTCTGAGAGCCCACGGGGGCCACTCCTCCAAGCATGCGCCCGAGAAGCGGCCCGTGCCCATTCGGAGGAAGAGAAGCATTGGTGAGCCCCGGGCCTGCCGGGTGGTGGTGGGGGGGGGGGGGGCGCCGGGCGGGGGGGGGGGCCCCCCCCGGGCCTTCAGGCCCACCACCCCCCCCCTCCCCCGTGAAACAAAGGCCCGGCCTGCGCAGGGGCCCCAGCGACTTCAGCTCTGGCCGCCCGCCGGTCTCTGGAGGCCTCCCTCCTCTGCCGGGGGCGTCTCCCTGCCCTGGCCCGTCTGCTGCCTGCTGCAGCCTGGCCTGGGCCAAGAGTTTCCAGGAGAGGAGAGCCATCATAAATTCCTTAAGTGCCCGGTCTTGTTGGGGCCTGTTCTGGAGGAGGCCTCGCTGGAAAACGTGGTCGTGTTTCATTTCCAGTCTGTGGCGCGGTGCGCTGGAGCTCAGGCTCCAGGCTGCGGAGCCAGAGATGCGGCCGAGCTGTGTGCGCTGGGCCCTGCCCTCGGCCCCCCGGCCCGCTCGGCCTCGGCCCCCGGGCTCCTGGGTTCGGGTGGCGTTTCTGTCCTGTCGCCTAGCAGGGCATCCCCGTGTCTGCTGGCCCCTGAGGAAGGACTGGCCGTTGTGGGGGGGGGGGGCGGGGGCTCTGGGGGCTCTGGGTTGGCTGCGACACAGCCTCGGCCTGCGCTTTCTTGCGCTGGGACTCGGGCTCCGGGGTCGGAGTCGATGCCACCTGGGGGTTCGTTCCTGCCACTTTTCCTTGCTGCCTGGTTGTGACCACGCACTGCTGCTCTCTGCTGTGTGCCATTGGGCAGCACCTGCCTTCTCTGAGCCTTAGGTTGCCTCCCAGGAGGTAGATTTCCTAGCTTCTGTCGTTGAGCGCAGCGTGTGGGTGATGATTCCTCACGAAGGCCGCAGACGTTTACCGTTTGACTGTAGGGTTCAGGTTCTCCAGAGCAGTGTCAGAGGCCTGTCCTATTCCAGACCAGGAGCCCTGGACACAAGGCCTCTCTCCCCAGCTCCACCCTCGGCCCCACCTGGACGGGTTCCCCAGACCCCTCCCGGGCGGTGGGCACTGGGCTGGGAGCTGAGACGCCCCCCCCCCCCCTCGCCCCCAGCACCCAGCCTTCCCTGTAGGCGGGGCTGTTCTTGGAGGCCCAGTGCCCCCCTCTCCAGGTGCTCCCTGAGCACCTCAGGGGATTCAAGTACCCCGAGTCTCCCGAGGCTCTGGGGAGGGGGGGGTCTCACCCTAGTGGCAGATGGGCAGGAGAGAGGCTGGCACCCCTCCCTGGCTTCACCCGCATCTCAAGCTTGTCTGCAGAAGACAAGGCCCTGCCTCATGCCAGCTGGCCACGGGGGTCAGGCCGAGCCCTCTGCGCCCAGGAGCGGCTCCCTCCAGTTCTGGGCTCGGGGGTCCCTGCTTTACCCTGGAGGCAGCAGCTCCCGTGGACCCGTGGGCAGCACCAGAGCCTGACGGGGCTCTCCAGGCACACGGTGGGGGGCCGGGGCCGGGGCCAGCGCCACGGCCGGATGCTGCCAGAGGGCGGCATGTGCACTGGGGTCCCCAGGTGGATTCCTCATCTGGCGGGCATGCCCTGGTGCCCCCTGAACTTCGGGGCTTCGGGGTGGACGGGCTGGCCTGTGCTGAGGAGCGCAGAGGTAGCACCAGCCTCTCCTCGGAGGCCGGCGGGGTGGTCTCTTGGTGGCCTTTGCTGAGCAGAACTGTGGCTGGTGGGCTGGGGAGGCAGGGCCGTGTCCCTTCCTGGGGCAGGGCCTGGCCTTGTGGGGGTGGCAGCAGGCAGGGCTGTCGCTGTGGGGGTCCCAGCCTCAGCTTCCCTGTTCTACCCATTTTCCACCGGCCCTGGGAGCGCCCTAACCGTCCCCTTTCAGCATCGGCTCCCACGCCCGCCCCCTCTGCGGGCCACCTGGGCTTCCCTGGCCTCTGGGCTCCCTGTGTCTTGTGGTCCCCTTTGCCAGCAAGGCCTTTCTCCTGGGGGGGTCCCCGCCTGGCCCTCGCTGCTGCTCACTCACCTTGATCCCGCTCAGATGCACCTGTCCGGGTCCGGGGTGTCTCTCCCCCTTTGCTGGGCCCGGGAGCCGTGGGATGTTTTCTGCTTGGGAGAGGCCGCGGCCAGGTGGGGGCGCACCAGCCCGAGCTGGGCTCCCGGTTGCCCCTCCAGGGCCGCGCGGGTCACGGGGTGGCCTGGGTGCTGGCGGGAGCCGGGGCGTGGCCTCCACATTCACCGTGGCTCTTGCCCTGCAGAGGAAGCCATCCCCGCGGTCTGCAAGACCAGAACGGTCATTTACGAGATACCTCGGAGTCAGGTCGACCCCACGTCTGCCAACTTCCTGATCTGGCCCCCGTGCGTGGAGGTGAAGCGCTGTGCGGGCTGCTGCAACACCAGCAGCGTCAAGTGCCAGCCTTCCCGCGTCCACCACCGGAGCGTCAAGGTGAGCCCCGGGGGCGCCCTGCGGCCGGGGACCTGCTCGAGTCCCGAGGCCACGCCTGTTCCCTTGGCCACACCGCTAGGCTCTGGGTGCAGAGCGGGGGCGGGCAGAGCCGGGACTGGGGCATGGTCGGCTGCCGGGGGGTGGGGGGGTGTCTGGCTCCCTTCCCCCACAACTGCACACAGCCTCCCCCGCGAGGTGGCCACGGGGAAGGGCCATGAGGAAAGCAGCCTCAGGACACGTTGCTCGTGCACTGCCTGGTGTCCTCTCCGAGCCCCGTGCCACGGGGTGCGTGTGTGTGCGTGGAGTCCTTCTCCGGAAGGGCCCTCCCGGGGTTGCCTCGCTCTCCGGGGCCGCAAGGCCAGCCCCTCCCCTCGTCCTCTGAAGCCGTGCTCTGCCCGGAGACCTCCAGGATCGGCGCTGGGCTCACTGTCCCAGGCAGGGTGCCGGCCGTGGTGACCTCCGAGGCAGAACTGGGGGAGGTGTCTCTTCGGGTCACTGCGGCCTGGCAGATGGGGGTCTGTTTGGGGGGCCAGTGGCCAGAAGGTTCTGCTGGTGTCTGGTCCCTCGGGCCTCATTTGCTGCATCTGTGAGATGAGTCTGTCTGGGGCTGTGCGGGACCCAGGCGAGTCCCGGGTCGTCCCTGTCTGCGGGAGGGGGCTGCCTTCCTGGGAAGCTGGCTCTGGCCTGGCGGGTTACTGTCCCGGGTGACCCTGGAGTGTGGACTTGGGCAGTGGGCATTGCCCGGCTGGCTGGGCCTCCAAGTGGCAGGCGGGTCCCTTTTCCCCGGATTACAGACTTCCTCTTTGGGGGCGTCAGAGGCCATTCCTTGGTGGGAGGTATTTTAGATCTTTTCTGTGGGCTCCCAGGCCAGGCCCCGGGCACTTTCTTGGTCAGGCCCCCCTTGTTCGTCACTTGGGAAGGCAGGTCAGACCTTAATTGGGGCTGTGGTCCTCGAGCACCTGGGGCCTTGAGCGAGCAGATTCCACGGCTTGCTGCACTGTGATCCCCAAGGCAGATGCTCCCCTGCAGCGGGGCTCGCAGGGCACTGGCCCGGGATGCTGACTCTTGTCTCCACGGGGTTCTCGGGCCTGACCCCGACGGGGCCCCCCAGCCGGGTGCCGAGCCCAGCACTTCACCCTTGTCAAAGGGGGACACAGAGGCCAGAGGGGTCAGGACTTGTGCATTCTGCTCCCTCAGATCTCGGTGTCCTCACCTGTGCCATGTTGTGAGGGGGCCCTGAGCCCCAAGAATCCAGGTGCTGAGATCTTTCCTTCCTGGGCGTGGGGATGGTGGTGCTCTCTTTTTTTTTTGACATTTAGTTTTGAGAAACAGAGTGAGACAGAGTATGAGCAGGGGAGGGGCAGAGAGAGAGGGAGACACAGGATCCGAAGCAGGCTCCAGGCTCTGAGCTGTCAGCACAGAGCCCGACGCGGGACTCGAACCCGCGCACCGCGACATCATGACCTGAGCCGAAGTCGGACGCTCAACCGCTGAGCCACCGGGGTGCCCCATGGTGCTCTTGATGGGACAGCCCCACGTGTGGGCGCTGGGGCTGCCTTTCGTGTCCAGTCGGGCTCTCGCAGATACAGAGGTGCGGGAATGAAGTGGGCTCCTGCCTCCCACGGGGTAAGGACTGCAGAGCGTCTGGTCCTGGGACGGGCAGGGATGCCCTCTCCCTGGCCCACCTGAGTGGGTGGGTGGGGGTCCAGACGCTCCGGCGGGGCCTCCAGCACGGTGTGTGTTGGTGGGTGGGGGGTGCGGCCCATGTCTGCCTTGGGCACAGGCCCAAAGGGCTGGGCAGAGTGGCACTGGGCCAGGGCTCCCCCTACGGGCCTTCATCTGCTCTGATGGGGTCGCGGTCCACCCAAGGGGACAGAGGGGCTAGTCCTGCAGCTGGAGCTCAGTGGCCCGGTTCCATGTCCCGCGTCCTGCTCCTCTCAGACCCCTTCCTCCTTCCCCTCTCCCTGCCTCCCCATCACAGGGTTGGCAGGGAAACATCCGGCCCCAGACACTGGGGGTTTTGGCCGAGAAGGGACAAAAGGTCAGTGGGAACAGGAGGTCCATTGTGGAGGCCAGCCTGGCCCCCACGCCTGCCCAGCGAGCTGTCCCTGGTCCGTGGGGTTTGAGGCAGAGCTCATGGCCCTGGGCTCTGCAGAGTCCCGGGCTGAGCGTCCGTGAGGGGCGCTGGGGGCCAGCAGGGGACGGGGCAGTGTTGCCGGGCAGGTGGGAGGTCCTGCCCTGGGCTGGCACGTGCCTGGTTTTCCGGTTTACGGCCTTTTGATCACAGTTGAAGGTCACAGATTGGAGAAGGGAAGGGAAGGCCGGGAGTGGCCACCTCCTTGAAGCCCAGGCGGTGAATTGTCTAGTGTGCCCAGCTGAAGGCTGCCAGGGGTCCCCAGGCCCTGAGCGTCAGGACTCGCTGACGTTGGAGGGTGGCTCTCCTCTGTGACCGCCATAGAGGGTGGCCTGAGGGTTCTTGTGTGACCCCAGCTCGACCGTGGTTTCAGGTGCGGGCCTTCACTCTCTGGGGCTGTGGCCTCGTCTGTTCTCCGGGACCTGCCCTTGGTGGGGGACTGGACCCCATGCTCCCCCGCGGGCCCCCCTGGGCTTGCTAGGGACGGCTGCCATCAGACCTCAGGGAGAGGTGAGCACGTGGTCCTGGGGGCCGTGTCCCTGCATCAGCTTGCCGTGGTCAGTGTTTGGGGTCTGCTCTTGAGGGCACCAAGCATGCTCTCTGACTGGTATCCCGGAGGGACGAGCCCTTCCTCTACTCCCCAGTGAGGGCTGACCCCAGACCCTGCAGGCATCTGACCCTGTCTCCCACACCCAGGCCTCGTGGGCCAGGAGAAGGTGGTGTAGACAGCACGGCCCCCACTCTGGTGGTGTCGTGCTGGTTGGGCCGGCTATGGGGTGGCCTTGGGAGTTGGGGGCTCCCGTGTTCTTCAGGTAGCCCGCGGGCTTACAGCTGAGTTGGTCGCTCCGTTAAGTCGGTCAGGCCCCCGGGTCTCCAGAGGCCAGGACCCAGCTCTGTGGCCACGTCCAGGGCAGCTGGCTGTGGCTTTGCGTTGCTAGACCTCCGGCTTCCGGAAGGGGGTCTGAGCGTGTTTGCTGGGGTGCCCCGGACAGGCCTCTGCGCCTCGGATGGAGTGGGGGGTCCAGTTCAGGGGCCTTGGGGAGAGATGAGTGGCTCTAGCGGCGAGGGTCTCCCGTGAAGGGATTCCGAGCCCCTCCCCACGGCGAGCAGGGCTCCAGGCTCCCGCCCCCTGCCTGCCTGGGGAGAGCCCTAGACGTGGCCTTGGGAAGCCAGTGCCCCTGGGCTGTGCTGGCCTTTCCAGCCGGCGGGGGGACGAGGGCTCCACACCACCTGCCTGTTGAGCCCGGTCAGAGCATGTGCCGTGACCCTGGGGCTCAGTCCCGTGGAGTGGACGTGGAGGACGCGGAGGGACACCAGGAGTCCCGTGTCTGGAACAGCAGGGCTCTGGAGTCCTCGTGCCCAGCGGGACAGGTTTCCCCCACTTAGAAAGTCCCTCGGTTAAGGGATGAGCTCAGGGCCTCTGCGGTTTCCAAGTCCAGGCCTCCTTCCAGCGAAAGGAGACGCCCAGGTTCCCTGTCTGTAAACGGACCCTAGCCGTGCCCTCACGGGGTAGCTGTGAGCGGGGGTCCAGTAAATGCTGGTGTTTGTCATCGACGGTGCCCCGCCCTGGACTCTGGGGGCAGGGGCACGGAGCTTCAGGTCATTGCTGAGCGTCCTTCGTCTGGAAGGGGTCGTGGCATCACCGGGTGACGTGTTTGGGTGGGTTTGCCCCAGGAGTGAGCGGGTGTGGGGCGGTTCATGGCGGGCCGACTGGTGGCAAAGCTGAGTGTCCTGTTTATCAGGTGCAGCTCAGGCCCCCAGGAGACAGACAAAAGGGGAAGGGAGGGAGGGGCGGGGCACGGCACCCCGTTTGGGTTCCTGGATGGGTCTGGGGGCCTCAGCCCCCATGAGGGTCCCGAGGACATAGCCGTCTTGTTCTGGGGATTGGCTAGCATGGAGGCCGCTTTGGAGAATTTAATACTGACAGTGTGCTCTTGGGGGGAAAAATGCAGCCATTTCCTGGCCAGACAGAGGTGGCGGGACGGCCCGGAATCCTCACATACCCAGAAGCAGGTGCAATCATAAATCACTGTTTGTTTTTCTTTGATAAAGACGGGCCCGTCTGAGGAGAAAGTGGGTTCCCAGACCGCAGTGGCTGGGGTTGTGAGTGCTTTGCCAAGGGGACCACGGGGGGTGGATTCGTGGAGTGCCCACCCTCCCCGTGGTGGCCGGTCTGTCGTGTGGAGAGAACAAGCCTGCCCCCCTGCATCTGCGCCCCCCCCCCCCCAGGGGACATAATAGGTGAGGCGCTTGCTGAATAGAGGCTGTGCAAGGAGGGGGGCCAGGCTGCTGGGTGGACCCTCCCGGTGCCCTAAGGGCTGGGGGCCGCTTGTGGGAAGGCACAGGGGGCCGCTCGCTCCGGAAGGTGCCCGTTGCAAGTCCCAGTGCTTTTATGCGTGCAAAGTCCTGGGGGCTGTGACGCTTGTGCCCAAGAGCCCCATGTCCAAGGATCTCTCCGTCTCCCTGCCTCCCTCCCTCTCCCTCCCTCTCTCTCCCTCCCTCCCTGCCTCCCGTGTGGTCCTGGCTCCCAGAACAGCCCGTGGCGCTAACCGTGCCCTGTGGCTGTGGTTGGTCATGCCCCCAGCCCCTTTCTCTTTCTGTTGTCTATTTAGGAGGCTTCCCAGGCCTGGCCCCAGACCTGGCCTGGCTCCCACCCCACCTGTGAGCCCACACCTGGCCGTCCACATTCACACCTGAGGCTGCACATCTCTTCCCGCGCTCGCGGGGCACCCAGCCCCCTTTGCGCTGCGGGTTAACCATTAATGCAGCCCCGCGGCCACAGGTCTGGACAAGCCAGGGGCCAGCTGACCTGTGGGGTGGGCTGTCCCACTTGCCTGGGGTCCTCTGGCTTCTGGACTCTAGGCCTCTGCAAAGGAGCCATCCCTCCCGCCTCCCCCCCGCCCCCCACCACCACACCGTCCCTCCTGCCTCCTCCCCTCCCGACTGTCCCCAGGCTGGGGGTTTCTGCTGTCAGTCATGCCTGGGTGGACCCTGCTCCCTTTCTGCCTCAGTTTCCCCAGGCCAACAGAGAGGGGGATAGAACGGACACCCCTGAGGGCCGTTGCCAGGACCTGAGACCGCAGCCCCGGTGTTGGTGCAGATGGAATGTGTGTCCTGTGCCCGGGTCCGCAGGGTTCAGGGCTGGCGGGAAGATGGCCCTCCTGCCCCTGCTGGGGATTGAGCTCAGGCACTTGATGGGGGGAGCCTGTTGGGGCTGCAGAGAGGGGCGGGGAGGATTGTTTCTCACGTTATCTATTTCCTCCGTGCCCCGGGATGAAGCGAGGCCACCTTGACCCTGCTCACTGTGTGTACGAAGTGCCCTCTGATGCCAGGTGCATGCGTGTGTGTGTGTGTGTGTGTGTGTGTGTGTGTGTGTGTAAGCAGTTTCTGTTTCTAGGACAGGGCTCATGCGTGTGTGTGTGCTACGAGTGCACGTGTGTGTCCACGTGGAGGGCGGAGCTGTGTTCCCATGACAGAAGGGGCCTGTGGGGACTTGGTCACTTGGCTGCCCGGACTTGTGCCCCACCGGCTGGACCGTCAGGCCTGCTGCGCTGTGGTTCCGTGCCGAGGGTTTGGGCCGACATGGCCTGTGGATGGAGCAGGCGCTGGCTCAGTTCTAGACCCTTCCAGGAGGGCCCTGCGTCCCTGCCCATGTTTCCGGGAAGCCTGGCTTTCTCCAGTCCCAGGGCGGCTGCGGGGGGGGGGGGGGGGGGACGTGAGAAGGCCTCAAGGCTGGGACTGAGGCCGTGGGGTGGCCGTGGGGTGGGCAGTGTGGCCTGGAGCCCGTGGCGTCCTGATCTGCCGTCCAAAGCAGACCAGAATCCACGTCCAAACCTGACAGCCTTCCTGTGGGCCCTTAGGGCTGTGCTCGCTTCGCTCCTCCTGGGGCTTTGGCGGGATGGGCAGAGGGGACAGTGACCCCCCCCAAGCCCCGTGCAGCAGGCCAGCTCCTCGGCCGTGGGATTTTCCCCTTGAATAAGCAAGCTTGCGTGTGGAAACTGGCCACTGCCGCGGATGCCCTTAAGACCTGGAAGCGAACCCCTTCCCTGCCCTGTGTCCCTCAGAGCTCTTACCTCAAGGGGCACCTGCACGCCTTCGGGCTGGCACACATGAGCCTTTGGGTTCCGAGTGAAGTGGACCAGACCACAGATGCCGAGGGCTCCTTTTCCGCCAGCACTCCTGCCTCTTCCGCTAGGAAGGAGGTCAGAGGGTGGAGTTCAGAGGTCGCCCTCCCAGCCCGCCCCGGGTGGGGCCGGGCACATCCCCCCTCCCCCAGTGACTTGTGTGGGGCGCGGCCGAGGCGCTCACGCGGGGTTGTCTCGGCAGGTGGCCAAGGTGGAGTACATCAGGAAGAAGCCAAAGTTAAAGGAGGTACAGGTGCGGCTGGAGGAGCATCTGGAGTGCACGTGCACGGCCACCGGCCCGACCCCGGACCACCGGGAGGAGGAGACAGGTAGGCGCTGCCTCTGCCGTGGGGTCTGGTGCTGCGGCCGACCGGGGACCTGCTGGGGACACCGCTGCCCGCAGGCGTCGCCGGAGTGCGAAGGGGCAGACGCTCGACGTTCCCACCACGCGGGGGGTTGGGGGCCGTGTGGCCGAGAAAGGCCGTGCCCCCGGGAGGTGGGCGCTGGGTGTGCCGGGGGACCTGGCGGCCTCCCCCGTCCCGGGCAGACTTTGCCCAGAAGCAGCGTGGCGTCGGGACCCGCCGTGTCAGGCTGGCTCAGGGCACCAGGAAGTGTCTCTGTGCCAAAGCTAATCGAGTTTTCTTCCAGAAAGACAAACACCTGAGGTATTTATTGCTGCAGCTTTGCAGCCCTCCCTTAGGCCCGCTCACCCTCCCTGCCCTTCTGTTAACAGGAAGGCGTAGGGAGTCAGGTAAAAAACGGAAAAGAAAAAGGTTAAAACCCACCTAACGCAGCCAACCAGGTAGGAGCTGCCCGTGGATACGCTGTGGTCTTGCGGGTGGAGGTGTGCTGGCTGATCACACGGCGAATCCCTCCCGCGGCGGCCTGACTGGGCCTGATCCGTCTGCAAGCTTCCGGGGCCTGGCTGGGCTGTGGGTCTGCTCGCTCCCGTCCCCGGCTCCCCTCTCCTGCCGCACACGGAGCCTGATCCACGGCTCCCTTCTGCTCTGGAGCCCCTGCTCTGGCTTTGGCCTCTTCCGCTGATTGGGGAGGCCCCAGCATCACGTGACTGGAGTGATTTGGGTTCCTGAACAGCCCTGGGGTAGCTCCGACGTTCGCTAGCTGGGATCACCACGTCCGGCAGGTTACCCGCCCCATTCGACAGATGAGAAATTGAGGCTTACGGGATTGTAGGTTAGGGTAGTCAAAGACTGAGTAGGTCCTGTCTGTAAGCGTTTCATAAACGTACGGGGCTGTTGGCTACTGTGTTGGAAATTGTGTTTGGCTGCTAGTAACCACACCGAAAACAGGGCTGAGAAAAGACAGGCATTTAAGAGTAGGTGTGGCCTTCTCCGGGTATCATCGGGAAGGACCCCCTTCCGTTTGGGACTGGTGGTGTGTGTCCTCAGAATTGCTTCGTGGTTCAGTATGGCTGCTGAAGCTCCGGAAATCACATCTATACCCCAGGCTGGAAGAGTAAGGTGGGGAGAGGGGCAGAAAAACCCTCTCGGAGAAGTGCCCCCCTGGGGACTTGTGCTCTCATACCCTGGCTGTCCTTCGGCTGCCGGGGGCCCGGGAAGTGTAGTCTTGTAGAGAGGTGTACCGTTTCCCAGAGGAAGATGGGGTTTGAGCAGGCACAGCCCTCACGGAGGCCGTTTCCAGCCTTTCTGCTCCTTGTTGGTGGCCTGTCTGCTCTGGAGAACCCCCCTGGCGTGGGGGAGCCCGCAGCGTCCAAAACAGGTGGCTGTGGGAGAAATTCTTAGAGGTGGTGTCCAAGAGCCCGGGCTCTGGTGGAGTGAGCGCAGAAAGCTGCCAGGTCAGGAGTGCTGGGGCCCGAGGGTCAGGGCCATTCGGTAGAATCCTCTGGGGAGGAAAGGTCCACGTGGGGGTTCCCGAAGCAGCCTCAGAACGACTGCCTGGCTGAGGCTTTTGCTTTCCCCAGGGGTGCGGTTCCACGCCTCCCTGCGCATCCGGTCGGCACACTGCTGGTTGGGCTTGGCCTGCATGGGCCAGCCGATGACAGGACCCCGAGTGAGAGGCCGGGGGTGTCCCTGCCACCCCCGGCCCTGCTAGCGTGTGGGCGGTAAAGGTGTTGAGATGAGCGGTGAACAGGTAACATGGGTAGGGAAGAGTGGCTGTTAGCTCAGAGCTCAGTGTAGTATCTGCCTGGACACAGAGACCCTGCCCGTATGCCTGGTGGTGTCCAGCTTTAGGGTGGTCTCATGGCCCAGGATGGCTGCCAGAGCTCCAGAAATCACGTGAAGCCCTAGGTCGGAGGAAAAAGGGAAAAAAAAAACAAAACAAAACAAAACCCAGCGAAACAAAAACACAACTTTCTGGGCCTCAGTTCCCCTCATCTGTGCAATGGGAAAATGGGGGCTTGCTCTAAGGAATGTTCTGTGAGATCCCAAGAGTCTAACCCCAATCCTGGTCAGGATGTTACGGAAAGGGTAATGAGGTACATCTGATTTGAAAAATTCCACCGAACCCTCGAATCCCGAGACTCGTCGTGGTGGTGCGTGAGTGCGTACCCTCGCTCAGGTTCATCGTTCCGCGGCGGTCCCCACCCACGAGCGCGCTCGGTCCCCCCCTCAGTGTCTGCCTGTGTCCTCTCTCCCTGCAGATGTGAGGTGAGAATAAGCCAGCGGCCCTTTTCCGGGACACGGATGTACATGGCGTGTTACATTCCTGAACCTACTATGTGCGGTGCTTACTGCCAGTGTGTGGTCTTTGTCCTCCGTGAAAAACTGTCTCCACGCGCACTCTGGAGAACAAAGAGACAGTATACGTTTGTTCAGTGCGACATCAAAGCAAGTATTGTAGCGCTCGGTGAAACAATAGGAAGCCTCCTCGTCAAACAAAAAAGACAGAGAGCGAGCAAACAACCACGAAACATGACAAACAAAACTGACTCACACAAATATCTACACGGTTGTCGGAATGGAGGGACGCCCCGTGGGCCGGACGTGTCGCGCCTCGGTGGACTGGATTTCTGTCCAGGGTGGTCACAGGTGCTTCTGCCGGGGACACAGCGCCTGCTTTCCGGAGGACTCCGGGCGGGTGCCGAGGGCCCTGCGGGGTACGCGGGAGCCAGGAGTGTCTCAGAACCGCCACGGGACTTAGAAACACATCTCCTTGCCGTAGTGTTTAAGTCTATACAGAAACCTTCCCGAGAGCCTTAAGTGGATTTTTTTTTACACCATAAAGTGATTATTAAGCTTTCCTTTTTACTCTTTGGCTAGTGTTTTTGTTTTTGTTTTTGTTTTTGTTTTTTAAATGATCTCTTGGATGGCATTGACACCTATAACACCAGGCTGCTGTAAGTCAGGACAGTGGGACGGTATTTCTCCTCGCAGGATGCAAACAAACGAGATGTATTAAAATAAAATGGTATACCCACCTATGCATCATTTCCTAAATGTTTCTGGCTTTACGTGTTTCTCCCCGGCCCCATTTCATCTTACTTTTTAATTTAAGCCATTTCGAGAGAACAGTTGCGTGAACCAATCGAGTCCGTCCCGGCCTGCCGATCCCGGGCTCCCCGCCCTGGCCGCCACCAGGTCGCCCCTGTGCCAGTGTTTGGACAGAATCTAAATTCTTTATTTTTGGGAAGATGTTACGCTTTACATGTATTCAACGGAAATGTGTGTGTGTGTTGTGTTTTTGTTTTGTAAAGGTGAAGTTTGTATTTTTATCTAATATTACCACTTTTATATACCTGAGAGCCTGCTATGTTTTTTTTTTTTTTTTTTTTTGAACCAAAAGGAAAAAGAAAAACTCACCAACAAAACCCATACACGGGAAAAGTGCTTTGTGGTCCATTTTTCTGGTTGTGTAACCGAGTCTAGACCCGTCTCCCATCACGTGTCCGCGGAGCGGTTTCTGGAGCTGCGGACGATCACTTGGAGGAGCCCCGCGCCCTCCCCGCCGCAAGAGCCCGCGGAGCGAGGCCGGCGCTCGAGATTCTGGAGCCTCGCGGGGATGGGCCAACGGAGCCATCGGGCCAGGGGCGCGGCCAAGCAGACGATGGGTTTAATCTGGAAGTGAGTTGATTGTCCCCGCGTGCGCGAGCCAGTGAAGGCAGGCAGCCCCACGTCGCCCGTGGCCTGCCGTCCGTGTCCCCAAAGTGGACACGCTACGTGGCCGTCAAGATCCCTTTGCTGTGGGCGGGGACTCCAGCGCGAGAGCGAGTGTCTCCGTTATCTGTGTGTTCGTGGGAGGACTTTTATAAAGGAATTTCTCCAGCAGCACATCTCCACGGTGTAGTTTTTGGTCGGCAGGACGAGCGAAGGGAGGCTGGGGTGGGGGTGGGGGGCGGAGGGGGCAGGTGGCCACGGGCCCCCTGTTCGCGCCCAGCCCCAGGCGCAGCTGACGCCATCCCGGGCCCCGTGCCGGGCATCTCGAGCCCGCGCCGCTCTCGACCCTGTGCACTGGCAGTGGGTCTGACGGGAGATGGACGATGGTGATTTATGTGTTTATGTCTCCGTGAGATGCTGATGATACCACTCGGTTTCTTCCCTTTGCCCAAAGCCGGTGGATGAAGGATCTGTCCATTAGCGCTAGAGCAGGAAAGCTGGTGCCCTCCTGGGGAGGGAGTGAGGCGGGAAGAGGGCCCCGGGGCGGCGGGGGAGGGTTGTGGGGGGGAGACCTGGCCGCCTGTCTCCCTGCTGAGGGCCTGTGCTGTTGGGTGGAGCGGGGGCGGGCAGGCTGGCGTCCACACCCAGCCAGGAAGGGGCTGACACCCGGCGGAGGCCGCGGTCTGTGGCCGGGTTGTTTCTGGATCGCAGGCCTACGCGGCCCACAGGCTTTGTTGCGGCTTTGCCCTAAATTCTTGGCATTTCTGCGCCTGCCTGGGCCCCTCCCAGCCCGTCACCCTAGCCCGTACCTGGGCGCGTCTGCTCGGGGCTGGTGCTCTGCAATCTTGTAAGCCTTGTTGTGTCCCTGAGCCACGGGCCTCTGTGTCCATCTGCACCGTGGGGACCGCAGCTTGGCATACAGCAAGGGTTCAGTACAATGCGCACGGGGACCTCCCTGTGCAGAAGCGCGTGCCCCCGCCCCCTGGCTTGTCCTTTCGGCTTCTGGGCCCGACGCAGCGGAGCAAAGCTTTGGGTGGCTTCCCTTCCCCTGGACGCACTGCCCGGAGAGCCACCGTCTCCCCTCCGTGCCCAGGGCCCCTCCTGGCAGCTTGGGCCCACCCTGGCCCCCCCCCCCCACACTTGCCGCCCTGGTCCGTGAAGTGGGTGTTCTGTGTTCTGGGGGTGGGGACAAAGGATGGGGCGCTGCGCCCTTGACATGCCCTCGGCCCTCGGGAAGAGGGGGCCACGTTCTCCGGGGGCGGGGCGCAGCAGACAGCCTGGCCTCGGCCTCCCTGGGACACGTGAGCCAGGGGAGCCTCTCTGCAGTGCCGTGGCCGTGGCCGGGCCCAGGTGAGGGCCTTCACGTGCTGTGGAACGGGGTTGGGGACGGCGGCCGCCCGGACCCCCAGCGAGTGCAACATGCCCAGGGTCAGAGGAGAAGGAAGGAGAGGAGAAGACCCAGAGGGTCAGGGCTTTGGGCAAGGCCTCCCATAGTCCTCTCCGCACCCACAACCCATCCCCGTGGAGGCGGGCCCAAGGCCCTGACCTGTGTGACCTGGCGCCACGGCGAGTCCTTCCTGCCACCTGCCGCCGGCCGGTGCAGCCCGAGTGTGTTTTACCCAAGCGCGTGTGGTTGGCCGGCGATGTGACGCGCACAGCGTAGTTAGCCGTGGCACCATTCTCTCTGTTACTCGTGTCCCGGCCTGTCCCCGCACGACATCATCACGTCGGTGACTCTTCCCTCCGCTTGCCCTTCCCACCCCCCGCGACCTGCTTGTGTCCCAACTGGGAGTTTGTGCCTCCGAATCCCCTTCCCCTGTTTCGCCCGCCCCCCACCCCCAGCAGCGCTGAGTTTTATCTCCTCCCCGTCACCGCAGCCCTCACCACGTCGCGTGGGAAGGGCCGGCCCTTGGTCCCAGCTGCTCCCAGCCAAGCTGAAGCTCCAGGCCAGTTAGGCTGTCCTCCACCTGTCATGCTTCACCCGGGGTGGAGCAGAGACGCCTGGTCCCCGGGCCTGGTCCCTGGTGAGTGTCAGGTACTGTGGTCTGCCACGGCGTGTGGCGTCCTTGTGCGGACGGACGGGGACAGAGGCTCCGATGCTCAGGCGTCCCCCCGAGACAGTAGCTGGAGGTGGGATTTGAGGCTGGCCCCCGCCCCGCTCACGTCCACTTGGGGTCCCAGCTGCTGTCCCAGCCCGCCCCTGCCGGCTGCACGCCAGGTGGCTCCGCGGTGGGTCTCGTCCTGGGGCTCCGGGTTATCAGCACCCGGCAAGGTTGCGGTGGGTGCCCCAGGCCCCGCCCCCAAAGCCCTCTGGGTTCGGTCCACCCTGCCTGCCGCGTGGCCCATTTTGTAGAGGCACAGACTGGGGCTCGGCATGTGCCAGTGTGGCCCGGAAGGGTCCGTGCTCACTGAGCAGCGATGCGCTGGGAATCCAGTTGGCCCCGGTGCCGCGACCGTTCATTTTTGTCAGCGACGTGCACTTCAGTTTTTTAAAAGACTGTTGAGGGGCGCCTGGGTGGCGCAGTCGGTTAAGCGTCCGACTTCAGCCAGGTCGCGATCTCGCGGTCCGTGAGTTCGAGCCCCGCGACAGGCTCTGGGCTGATGGCTCGGAGCCTGGAGCCTATTTCCGATTCTGTGTCTCCCTCTCTCTCTGCCCCTCCCCCGTTCATGCTCTGTCTCTCTCTGTCCCAAAAATAAATAAAAACGTTGAAAAAAAAATTAAAAAAAAATAAATAAAAGACTGTTGATTTCAGTTAACCGTTCGGGTGGAGCAGGGGTGCCCGGCAGCGGAGCCCTGGCCCGCGGGACTGAGTGGCAGGACGGTGGGGACTCCCGGGCCGGGCCCCGCTTCCGGGCAGGCCGCGCTCACGGGGGATGGTGGACGGCCGTGTGTTCTCAGACTGTGGTGCCTTAACCTGGGCTCCCCAGAGCAGAGCCTGAGGAGGGCTGGTGGGCAGGTAGCTCCTTGGAGAAGAGATACAGGGCTGGAAGCAGGGAGACGCCCAGGGCACCACCCACCTCTGCTCTTTCCCGTGGGACCCCGGGGGCCTTGCAAACGTCTCTGGGAGCCGTTCCCCTGGGAAAGGGGGCGCCCGTGTGAGCGTATGGTCCTACGGGCTCCCTCCTGGCACGAGAGGGCGCCTGCGTGGGGCTGAGTGGGGGTGCTGGCGGGGAAGGAGTGGGCGCCCAGCTGTGGGTGGCCATGGAAACCACGGGGCTGTGGGGCCGTGTCTCCGCCGCTTCGGGGCTGATCTGGGGTCTCCGTGCCGCGGCCGTCTGCGGCCCAGACCTCCCAGTGTGCCCACCTGCGTGCCACTTAACGTGAAGGTTGCACCCAGGGGTGGGCCTGGGGCCCTGCCTGGCCAGGACCCGTTGCACCCTGCTCTCCACCGACCTCCCTGCCTCTATCCGTCTTGGACCGTTCGTGTCCACGGGCTGGGGGCAGCCGAGGGTGGGGTTTGAGAATGTGGCTCTGTGGGGCTCCTCCGTGCCCTGGACCCACCTGGTAGTGGGACCTTGGGTGTCTCACCACGTGACCTCGGACGACCTAGCCGTGTGACCCTGGGTGTCCTCACTGGATGACTCCGGCGAGTCACCTCCCGCTCTCGAAAACCGTTGCTGGCCGTCTGTGCGGGTCGCCCCGACGTACCCAAGGGGCTCGGCCTACAGCAGCCCCTCGGAGTGGAGTCACGGGGTCCTCGAAACACAGAGGAGGCGTAGGGGAGGAGCTGCCCCCTCAGGCCCGGGGAGCATGATTGGGGGTGGCCCCAGGCCCCAAAACTGTCCATCCCGCCTTCCACCCCCCCAGGCGGCTTCTCAACACAGGGAGGGCGGAGGGTACAAACTCACGCACCCGTCCACCTTCCCACGCCGCAGGCACAGAGTGTGTGGAGGAGGTGAAGGCTGGGCCAGGTGGCCTCCAGGTGTGAGGGCCTGGAAGGTTCTCTGCCTGCCCCTCCCGGGGGGGACCACCTCACGCTGCTCACACCTTCCTCAGCTGACGTGGCTTCTGGGTCCCAGGCTGCCTTCTCCTCACCCGCCGGGGACTCTCAGAGGCAGGAATAGGAGTCCGTGCTTCCAGGTTCCTGAGCAGCCCGTGAAGGGAGGCCTGGTGGCCCCTGGGGCACCAGGCAGAGCCCGGGTCCTCGTGCCCCTGAGGGCCCCCGTCTCAGATGGTCCTCGCAGCACCAAGGGAGGCGCCCTCGGATTCACCCCCAGGCCGGGGGCCCGCGCCCAGCCTGGCCTCAGAGGTGACAGCAGTGTGCAGGAGCTGGCCTGCCGCCCCACAGTGCCCACCCCCACTCCCTGCAGGGCACGGGGCGCAAAGCGTGTGGTTTCTGCAGAATAAAACAGTGACTGTTTCCAACCAGGCCCTTGAGCCGCCAAAAAATGTGGAGTATTCGCTATCTGGCCCCCAGCCTGCTGATCAGTGGGCAGTGTTCCTGGGAGGACCAGGGAGCAGACGCGGTCCCTGTTGGGGCCTGTGCCCCGCAGCCCAAGTGAGGCCCTGCCCGGAGCCCCGGGGGCTGAGGCACCCCCGCCCGGCCCTTTTGGCTCCTGGGCTGGAGCTGGCGGCCTGTGGCCCTTGCTGGCATAGCCATGCCACACGGGGGTTCCACCAGGCGCTTTGCTGCCCAGAAGGCCCTTTGGGGTTCTGATGGACAGCAGACAGACAGACGGACAGAAATACTGCTTCCCCTCTGAGCTCTTCCCGGACGGTCCCCGGGTGGGGCGTCCATTGCAGGCTTCAGGTGTGGGCAGGGGCTCCCGGCCTCCCCGAGGGGGCCGGCCCCAGTCCTTGGCCACAGAACATGGGCTGAGTCCCCTCACCTAACCTGGGGGACTCGAGGCCCTTAAGAGTACCTCCCAGACTGCCCCTCATCCTGGCTGGCAGCGGACGAGGACCCCAGAGCTCGGCCGGCCTTGGGCAGTTTCCCCAAAGCTCTGCCAGTGGCTCAGTCCTGCGCTTATCACCAGCTCTGGGCTCTGGGCCGGCCGTGCCCTTCGCAGGGAGTGCCCGTCGGAGGGCGATGGTGGGGCGCCCGTTCTGGCCTTTCCTGCTGCACCGGAGAAGCTTGCTGGTCTCTTGGGCTGTGCATGAGCCTGGGTGGGCATGGCCCCGGGGCAGTTCCAGGGGACCCGGGGGACAGAGGCATCTTCTCTAGGTGCTT